GGCAGTTCTAATTACTTAACAGTTCAGCAAAGCTTACAAATTTTCTTTAAAACAGAAGCCCTCGGTGAAATCAAGCTATCCAAGAAAACCATCCAAGAATATACATTCTTGGACGATACCGCGAAAACGAAATATCTATCGAGAGTTTTCAAAGGATTTCATGCACGAGGCCTTGGCCGAGTGCATGAAATTCTTTGAAAACTCGAGATAGAAATATTTCGTCGCGGTAGAGTCCTAGATATTATTTCCTGTATGTTTCTTAATATCGTTCGTTATTTGCTTAAAAAAGGCCGAAATATGCATAAATAAAATACAGTAACATTAACTACACGTTAAATACTGAAACACTGGCAGTTCTAATTACTTAACAGTTCAGCAAAGCTTACAAATTTTCTTTAAAACAGAAGCCCTCAATGAAATCAAGCTATCCAAGAAAACCATCCAAGAAAACGTCTCGCGCAAAGTTTCTTGGATGGCTGGATTGCATTGCAAGACTGCATCAAACATACAGGAAAACGTCTCGCGCAAAGTTTCTTGGATGGCTGGATTGCATTGCAAGACTGCATCAAACATACAGGAAATTGAGTTAATTACGGAGCGAGCGAAGCGAGCGGAGTCTTTCCTGTATGTTTGATGCAGTCTTGCAATGCAATCCAGCCATCCAAGAAACTTTGCGCGAGACGTTTTCTTGGATGGTTTTCTTGGATAGCTTGATTTCATCGAGGGCTTCTGTTTTAAAGAAAATTTGAAAGCTTAGCTGAACTGTTGAGTAATTAGAACTGCCAGTATTTCAGTATCTAACGTGTAGTTATTGTTACTGTATTTTATTTATGCATATTTCGGCCTTTTTTAAGCAGATAACGAACGATATTAAGAAACATACAGGAAATAATATCTAGGACTCTACCGCGACGAAATATTTCTATCTCGAGTTTTCAAAGAATTTCATGCACTCGGCCAAGGCCTCGTGCATGAAATCCTTTGAAAACTCTCGATAGAAATATTTCGTTTTCGCGGTATCGTCCAAGAATGTATATTCCTTAGATTAACGGAAATTTCTGAGTATGAGCGGCCGGCCGGCCGGCCGGCCGTGCGGACGCTTTTGCGAGGCTTATATCTCAGCAACCACTTGACCGATTTACACGCGGTAATTTTTATAGGGTAGCTTCATTCCTTCTACCAAGTATTGGACTATTCCCGATGCATGTGGGTGACCCCTTATGCACGTGCCACGTGCAAAACGAAGAGGTGTCAGTTTTGTAATTGTTGCAATATCTCGGTAACTACTTGGCCGATTGCGCTGAAAGTTGGCATGTAGGTAGGCACCCACTAGGCACTGCATATCCATGTGCCAGAGGTGGGGTGCTGCTGCACGTGCGCACGTGCAGGGGTCGTTTCCAGTTCTCGAGAACGGCTGGACCGATAGCACTCAAATTTGGTACACGGTTAGGGACCAGTTAGTAGGGTGCCGTGCACAAGTCAGTTGGGACCCATTTTGCACGTGCGCACGTGCAGGGTGCCGCTTCCAGATCTCGAGAACGGCTGGCCCGATTGTGCTCAAATTTGGCACATCGCTAGAGACCGGTTAGCAGGGTGCCGTGCACAAGTCAGTTGGAGGCACCCCTTGCAATTTCGCACGTGCAAGGCCCACCCTCTCGCTCGCTCCGTTAGTCGCCCCTCAAGGCGTTATACTGGTTATTATCGTTTGTGCTAACCTCGTTCAAGCTGCTGAGTTATCAGCCCAAGTTGAGGTTTGATTGATAAGATTCATTTAGTTTCTTTACCTGTCAGTTGTAGGATCATTTACGCCCCAGCGAGTGCATACGTTCACATCACGATTGGCATGATCGATAATCGAGTAACTGGGCTCGATTTTATTGTCGTAGGTCAGCGCTTAAACTGTCAATCATCAGGCTGTCGTTAACTGCACTTAACGATTTTCTTCACTTTTTAAGCGCGAGACAGACGTTTTCGAATTGCAATCTTTCTAACCTTTTGGAATCAGACAACGTAATACATCGCATGCGTTTTCTTATCAGAAACAATAGTGCAACACAAAACAAGTTAGAAAATCATAGCTATGAGCCAGAGTGTCAGTCTTTTCCAGTTTTTGTTTATACAGACATCCCGCATTGCTCTTTTCCGTGCAGAACAATACAATGTTTATGCACTAAATCTGTGAACATTAGAAGACTGCAAATACACGCACGATCCATACATTTTGTCATTTCATATGGCCAGTGGAATCGCTCACTGTAATGTGTTTAGTAAAGCTGAAGGAAATTAGTTTTTGGACTACAATGAAAAACACTGGCACTTCATTTCATATGACGGCTTTGTTAGACAAGAAGTACACAAGTGATAATACACTGGCCCTTATGGATGACCACAAAACCATTCGTTATCCACTGGTCCTTCTCGTGACTCTCCACGAATGCTCCTGCGTTATGCACCGGCACCTATGTATAGGCCAGGAGAGAGAGTGCGAGACTTGGGGGAAGGGCCGCACTTACGACGAATACAAATAGTGCTAATCAATTACTTGTGGTATGGATTTTCCGACGATTCTTATGCCGTTCCGGCGCGTCCCGGCTCATGCTCGTCTGCCATTATCTCCTTCTACCGCTCTGTTTGCACTCTCAATGCCTTCCTGGGTGCCCTCTGCATTCCCGGTCTATCCTGCTTCCATTAGACTTTCTCGGGTCACCCCTCTACCCATCCATCTCTCCTGTTCTCATCAGTTCCATGTCTGTATTTCGATTTTCTCTCTTTCCCTTCTCCCTCTCTCTCTCTCTCCTCTCTTTCTCTCTCTCTCTCTCTCTCTCTCTCTCTCTCTCTCTCTCTCTCTCTCTCTCTCTCTCTCTCTCTCTCTCTCTCTCTCTCTCTCTCTCTCTCTCTCAACATTTCACTTTCTCATTCGGAATACAGAACATAAAGGTATTGGGTACTCCTGTTGTACAAACTAAAGACCTTAAAGACTAATAAATTAACGCTGTAATGCATACTAAATTCGTGATTCGGCCAGCTGTATCTCTTTCGATAAGATATTAACTATTCAGTCGCTACAAATACAGCGTTACGAGCTGTGCGTTTGGGCTGCTCAAAGCAATCTGTACCTGATTTATAGTCACCACCATTCACATTACACTGGTTGAGTGTTTCGGAAAATGTCAGCGCCAGCTCCGAGGCGGTGGAAAGTTTTCGTGTTTAGCATAGTGGTGCTGACAGCTCGAGACGCTGCTGTTGATAGCTTCAGCTAAGTTTTACACCCAGGCAGGACGAGTTTAAATCGACGTCGATCAGGAAGAATCGAACATTATAGACGTGGGACGATGGCTTTCCAACTGATACAAGATTTACATAATCCTGCCGCTTGTCTCGAATATGTGCAAGATCAGTCAGAGGAATTCGTGAAGAGCACATGTGTTAACAGAAAATTTAAGGGAACATGTAACCAAAGGTTAGTGCACGGTTCGTCGGAAGGTCATCTCAGGCTCAAAAGAAACGGTATATACCATTCGAAAGCCGACGGTGAGCTGAATCCAAAAATGTAATTTTTATCAAAATCGATCGATGGCCTTTTTTGAAAATTGCGTTTTTGTAAAAACTTAATAATCTTTTATTTAACGGGCTGTCCCGGACATTCTTGAAAACATAAACAGGTATTTTTTAGTTCCAGTGAAAGCTAAACGCCAAAAGAACAATATTTAGCGAAGCAATATTTCCAAACATTAATATGCGTCTCCCACAGCCGACAATAAGGCGCAATCACACAGCTCAGTGTCACGATAGACCAAAGTCAGCCACACAGAAGCGTGAATTGACCCTTATCGACTCGCAGACCGGGCGCTCTCGGCCCGCCTGACCGGTCACGGAAAGAACGTTCGGCTCTCGTTCTACTAAACAAATGTCATATTTGTCACTTTAACTGTCCACATCGCTATTAAAGTTATTCAGGATACCTGTGAAGAAAATTCGTTGTTCTGCTTGATTTACAACATGCTTTAATTTACATTTTTCTTATACATGTTTTGTTCCATCCAGCTGCGATCAGTGCCCGCGCAGGGGAAGTGAGCGGGGTTTCACTGTCAGAGGCTGTACTGGTGACAGCTGCTCGGCCGTGCGACCGGTCAAAGGTTACCCTACCCCGCCGGGCGCTACCCCCACTCCACCCGAGCTGAGGCCGGTGCAACCTCTGACATTTCAGCGCGGCCAATTTTCCTTATATGGGCATGATACCAAGCTCAACTGAGCAAAGTAGACATGAACAATTGCAAATTAATACATGATGTGAAGATGACAGAACAATGAATTTTCTTCACAGGTATCCTGAATAACTTTAATAGCGATGTGGACAGTTAAACTGACAAATATGACATTTGTTTAGTAGAACGAGAGCCGAACGTCCTTTCCGTGGCCGGTCAGGCGGGCCGAGAGCGCCCGGTCTGCGAGTCGATAAGGGTCATTTCACGCTTCTGTGTGGCTGACTTTGGTCCATCGTGACACTGAGCTGTGTGATTGCGCCTTATTGTCGGCTGTGGGAGACGCATATTAATGATTGGAAATATTGCTTCGCTAAATATTGTTCTTTTGGCGTTCAGCTTTCACTGGAACTCAAAAATACATGTTTATGTTTTCAAGAATGTCCGGGACAGCCCGTTGAATAAAAGATTATTAAGTTTTTACAAAAACGCAATTTTCAAAAAAGGCCATCGATCGATTTTGATAAAAATTACATTTTTGGATTCAGCTCACCGTCAGCTTTCGAATGGTATATATCGTTTCTTTTGAGCCTGAGATGACCTTCCGACGAACCGTGAGTGTTCAGTACTTAGTTAAAAATACTATTCGCTAAAAATTTGTTTTCTATTAAAAAACAATCCTATATTTTTTCGACAATTGTTCACATTATACGCTATCAAGTAATGTCTTTACCACTGGCCGGTTTTGTGACGGGCAATGGCCATGCATCTGACAAGATCCGTCTTTTGTGTTTTCAGATCTGCCTCGTTGTCAAATAGAGCAGCAGACGGTATTCTTTCTACCGGGACGCAGCTTTGAGTTGCGCTGTCAACTGCAGGCCCGTCCCACCCAGGTCCGGTTCAAATGGGACGTCAACAGCACAGCTACTGAGTACCGGCGAGCGCCTCTGACTAGGTGAGAACTGAGAACCACCGCTGTCAGTGAGAGCCACCTGGTGAGAACCATTCTCGTGAGAACCACCCTGGTGAGAACCACCGCTACTGGTGAGAACCTTCCTGGTGAGAACGGTGATAACCACCAAATAGTGGCAGTGGAGCCGTCCTACTCACCCTAACCAGGCTAGTATAACTATTCTATTTTCTCGCCTATCTGCAATACTGGAAAACTCTCTTTGGAGTGGCAGTATAGGTAACAATTAGAAAAGATCCATAGGCACGTCAGATAGTCATACTTTAGAATTAGCATGTGATATCACACATTGCTGCATGATGTTGCACATATACGATGTCACAGACACATATAGACGCATTTAAGATAATCATGCATCTGAAGTTTGTAGCGCAAATAGCATCATAAAATGGGTCACTACGTGACTACGTGAGGCCCACTGCACTTCAGGATCCCTGTAAGTCAACTCACTGCATGAGGCTCCATACAGGCAGGCAAAACTGGACCTAACTTTTAGTTTAGGTGGACTGGTGGCCTATCTCCACCAGCATATATCGAGCTCTGATTCACGGAACTCTAGTAAGACAGGCTTCTGTACTTACATTTGCATTCGAGAAGCATTCAATTTAATTGGACAGTCTTGTTTGATTTGCGTCCTGCTCACACAATGTACAAGTTCGCCGCTTTAGCTGACATTCAGTCGGAAATATTCCGGGAGAGCCGCTCCCGAGAAACCCACTGACCCGTGGCTGCTATAAATTATAAACTTCGCCATATGCATCTCCCGCTATCATATGCGCCGTTCGGTGTGTCCAGATTCAGCACCTCTGGCAGCTCCAGCTCCGTGCAGCACCGGCTGGACTCTGAGGAGCCGGCTGAGGTGCGCTGCTGGGGCAGCAACGCCATCGGACTGCAGCGGACGCCGTGCATTTTCCATCTGGAGCCGGCAGGTCAGTCGTCACTGCCTCGTCTCCCGCGACGTCCGCTGACGGTCACTCGGTTACCCCCGCGGCGTCCCTGTCCGTTACTGAGTTACCCCCGCGGCGTCCCAGCCCGTTACTGAGTTACCCCCGCGGCGTCCCAGCCCGTTACTTAGTTACCCCGCGGCGTCCCTGCCCGTTACTGAGTTACCCCCGCGGCGTCCCTGTCCGTTACTGAGTTACCCCCGCGGCGTCCCTGCCCGTTACTTAGTTACCCCCGCGGCGTCCCTGCCCGTCACTCGGTTACCCCCGCGGCGTCCCTGCCAGTGCCCGTTACTTAGTTACCCCCGCGGCGTCCCTGTCCGTTACTTAGTTACCCCCGCGGCGTCCCAGCCCGTTACTTAGTTACCCCCGCGGCGTCCCTGCCCGTTACTGAGTTACCCCCGCGGCGTCCCAGCCCGTTACTTAGTTACCACCGCGGCGTCCCAGCCCGTTACTCGGTTACCACCCGTCGGCCGGCAATCCCTTCGGTGTTCGCTGTCTTTCACCCACGGAGGGCATAGATCTGACTCAGTGGGACGTACAGACAGCACTTCGTGCTGTAGAAAGTACCATATGTTATCCTTTCAGTGCGATGGATCCTGGTGCGTCAGCCATGGACAGACTGATCAGTTATCAGTGCTCAGTGATGTATAAACATTACTCGACAATACTGCTCGCAGTTTGCAGATACTGAGAGGCGACCTCAAATTCAAATAAATAACATTTGAAGAACATATTCATTAGGGGATGTGATGTTTTTACCTTCGGCAACAATGTAAGCCCTTATTCCTCTTCCGGTGTGGCAGCCTTGCTGTAATTACATAGTTGTTACTTGCCTCTGCGATGAGCTAGATGATATGCCGATTTGTAGTCGACGTTTTTAGGAAGTTCCGGTGAGGCACATCAGCCGCCGTCGCAACTTTTGGTGGCTTTGTTAGTAACTGAAAGAGCATCGTAAGTCATCATTTGCCCTAAGGGCTTCTTCTTTGGCGTGAGTAAGCCACTCTTGTTAACACGAAGGTGACCTCAGCTCAAAAGCTGGCCGTCCGTCAGGAGCTGGAGGGGCACCGTCTCCCGATATAACCACGATACTATTCATGTGGGCGCCGCTAAGGCTGCGCCATTGTGAAAGGCCTGTCTGTCGCTTGTTTACTGCCAATGCTAGTGGCGCTAACCATCGCTAACTATTTAAAGAACATGTCGTTTTTATTTACAAAGGTAGCCCTAAAGCTCCTCTGTAGCATAGCACACCTCAAAACAAGATCAATTGACGTGGGTCCCATCTTACTTCTATTGAATTTTATCTTCTATCTTCTATTGAATTTTATCTTTGAATTTTTCTATTGAATTTTATCTTCTATTGAATTTTATCTTATCTTCTATTGAATTTCCCATCTTACTTTCAATTGACGTGGGTCCAATTCCAAACCGATGAGTGCCACCCCACCACGGCCTGCGATGTGCCACCGCTGTTGAAAGGAGCACCAGGTGAATGGCACATATCTCGGACGCATGTATGTCTGTTGCAGTAGCAATAACTAAGCATCAGTTATAGGATAAAGATACACAAACACAGTCCACATGACGTAAGTACGATCATATGCGACATAGCTCGGGGTGCGACCGGCATTGCAGTCGTGCCGACCGCAGTCGTGAGCTGGGTGGCGGCTGTCCCGCACGGCACAAACGCGCTGCGGTACAGCCTACCAGTCCAGTGTGGTGCCGCCCGCCATCTCTCGGCGAGATATCGAACTATGGAGCTGGCGCAGCACGCCTGGCAGGCAGCTAGCAAATACCTAATGAATGATGAACGTCAGAATAGCATTGTTCTTGCATAAACTCTGTAATTACACGCAACGGGACATGTTTCCGTAACGATGTATTTGTATGCCGTTATGCAGCTTTGAGTTCCCTTAGCCCAGTTGGTGGTGCATCGAACTCCCGGCAGTGAGCCCTGGCTCGCGTCGTTCGGCCGCTGAACAAGTGAGACTCCTTTAGAGGATGATTTGCAGTAGGTGGAAGAAGAAGCAGTCACTTGAAGTTAGTTGAGTGGGATGGGCCATGTCTGGACTTGATAAGCGCGATGAACTTTGGATAAAGTCTCCTTCATTCCACCTGGAATTGCTTAATCGAATGGTGGGGTCGCAGCCTGCGCAACAAGCATTTCATGGATTCCGGCTCTGTCAATCAAGCCAATTAAATATTGGAACAAAATTAAAACAAAAACAGAAATGTATGTAAAATAGGCTCAGTACAACTGACAATGACATTAACCCGGCACCGCCTGGGCTATTTCCGTGCTTCCATGACAAAATATCGAAACGCAAAATATCGAAGCGCAAAATATCGAACGCAAATTATCGAAAGCAAAATATCGAAGTCGCAAATTATCGAAATTGCAAAATATCGAAATCGCAAAATATCGAATTGCAAAATATCGAAATCGCAAAATATCGAAATCGCAAAATATCGAATCGCAAAATATCGAATTGCAAAATATCGAAATCGCAAAATATCGAATAGCATAATATCGAAAGCAAAATATCGAAACGCAAACTATCGAAACGCAAAATATCGAAACGCAAAATATCGAAAGACAAAATATCGAAAGACAAAATATTGAAAGACAAAATATCGAAAGACAAAATATCGAAAGACAAAATATTGAAAGACAAAATATCGAAAGACAAAATATCGAAAAGGCAAAATATCGAACGCAGAATATCGAAAAGACAAAATATCGAACGCAAAATATCGAAGAGACAAAATATCGAACGCAAAATATCGAAAAGGCAGAATATCGAACGCAGAATATCGAAAAGGCAAAATATCGAACGCAAAATATCGAACAGACAAAATATCGAACGCAAAATATCGAAAATGCAAAATATCGAACGCAAAATATCGAAAAGGCAAAATATCGAACGCAAAATATCGAAAAGACAAAATAACGAACGCAAAGTGTCGAAAAGGTAAAATATCGACTTGAAATGGCCCTCTGCGGACTCCTTAGAGCTCTGTCGAACTCATCGGGCCCTCTGTTATCTGTAGGCCTCAAAGAGCAATCAGCGGGTCCATGACAGACTTGGAAAACTCTGATATTTTTTGTAGATCTCAGCAGTGGCGGCGGAAGGTAATTTCGGATGGGGGTGCAAAGTTTTCTCAAGGGGCCCCTCTGGAAGTTTTGCCCCCCCCCGATCTTTTTTAGAGTGATTATCATTGCTTTATGAAAAACGAAGATTTTGGAAAACAATCCCCAAAAACACAAGTTCTGCAAAATATTTGAAATTGCAGTGTACCTATCTCAAATAAAGCATAACGAAGCAAATGCAGCTAGTTTTTATCATCTAATCTTGTTTTAGTCTAGCCACCACCCTCAGCATCTCAACCCACTTTTCTGGATCCGCAGTGGACCATTACGGGCCCTACGAGACCGTTCTTAGAAGACCGTGTTTAAAAGCCCCTTGGAAATCGACCCCTTAGAGGCTCCTCCAGAGACCTACATGACTCCCCAGACCGAATGAGCCCTCCGACCAGGGTCGGTCCCTCAGAAGTTGCTGAAGGGTTTCAGAAAGCAGTATACTCGTAGGCTCGAAAGGCTTTTGATGGCTCTCAGAGACTGACATCGGACCCAAAAAAGCCTGTATGGAGACCCTCCAAAGCCGGGATGGCCTCCAGGAGCCGATGTTTAGCCTAAAGAACCAGCATGGAGGATTGAATAGAGGAAAGGACTAGAAGTCTCAGTGGGGCCTTCAGGAGCAAGCGTTTGGGGCCCCAAAAGTATGTGTGGGGTCTTAGAGGCAGGTAAGCCCCTGGAGGCCTATAGAATTGCATAATTTTAACTCATAATGTCTCTAAATTTTATTCCTCACATTTCAAACACAAGTTTTACTTAAAATTTAATAACAAATTTATTTATTAAAGGTGAACTATTTCCTTTAATCAATCGAGGTTTTCATTGAAGATATGTGTTGCATAAGTACAAAAATTGACGCATGCAAGGGATCTTGGAGGACAATTGTTGTTTGTTAATTTTGGATGACATATGTTAATTAAGAAGGAATAGGCCCTTGCTGCTATAGATACCCACTTAGAAACATAAAAATGCACGATTTATGGACGACGCAGTGAAATTAAAATGATGTTAACCCACGAGCCGCTGGGGGGGGGGCATAAAGTTGCCCCCCTTTACGTTTTGTGAAATATCTCCGAAACCTGATGAGCTACGAAGGTGAAACTTGGCATAGCTTCAAATGAATACCTAGGCAATGTTTGAGGAAAGTTTGGTGGTTGTAGCACCTAAGATGACGTCACAGTGACGTCATAAAGTTTTGTCGTTTTCCGATATGGACCGTTTCTGATGACGCTGAGCATGAAAATCAACTGTAAATGAACTAGACAGCACCTGCTGTCATCCTAAAACATCTAACTACACTTCCATCTAGTTTCTGACCAATAATCGACCCTTTATATTCGGTCCCATATATCTGATGTATCGCGAGGAATATGAGAATCGCAAATCTATAATTTCACTTATGACGTCACTGTGACGTCATTTCAAATGGGATCGACACCAAATTTGGACATAACCTCGGCTAGGTATTCAGGAAGATGTGTGCAAAGTTTCGCTTCTCTATCTCTTCGCGTTGCGACGATATCGTCGCAGAAGTAAAGGGGGGGCAACTATATGCCCCCCCCCCCCCCCAGCGGCCGGCGGGTGGCGCGGAGGCCCAGCGGCCGCCGGGTTAACCCGCGCCTGACTGGGGTATATTCCATAACACAACTGACTGGGGGGGGGGGCTATTTGGAGCCCCCCCCCCTCCTATCTCCGAAGCTACTGGACCGATTTTCAAAACTCAAACGGTGTTTGATAGCAGTGGCGGATCCAGGGGAGGGCAAATAGGGCAATTGCCCTCCACAAAGGACATCATTCTTAACATTACGTCTATGGCAGTGCATGAAAAGAAACAATAAATTGTGATGGTTTGCCCCTCCCAAAACTCTGGGTTGGATCCGCCTATGTTTGATAGCCCCGGAAGATATGTGAGCGAAACCTAATTTCGACAGAGTTCGACAGAGCTCTAAGGAGTCCGTAGAGGGCCATTTCAAGTCGATATTTTACCTTTTCGACGCTTTGCGTTCGTTATTTTGTCATTTCGATATTTTGCGTTCGATATTTTGCCTTTTCGATATTCTGCGTTCGATATTCTGCCTTTTCGATATTTTGCGTTCGATATTTTGTCTGTTCGATATTTTGCGTCCGATATCTTGTCTTTTCGATATTCTGCGTTCGATATTTTGTCTTTTCGATATTCTGCGTTCGATATTTTGCCTTTTCGATATTTTGTCTTTCGATGTTTTGTCTTTCGATATTTTGTCTTTCGATATTTTGCGGTTCGATATTCTGCTTTCGATATTATGCTATTCGATATTTTGCGAGTTCGATATTTTGCAATGCGATATTATGCAATTCGATATTTTGCGATGTCGATATTTTGCGATGTCGATATTTTGCGGTTCGATATTTTGCGATTTCGATATTTTGCGCATTCGATATTTTGCTTTCGATATTCTGCCACTTCGATAATTTGTCTTCGATATTTTGCTATTCGATATTTTGCTTTTCGATATTTTGTCCGGAACCCTATTTCCGTACCCACGACAGCCTGGGGGGGGGTCGGATCCGACCCCCCCCCCCTGTTATCTCGAGAACCAATGGTCGTATCGAGCCCCGCGAGGCGGCGTTCGAAAGGTCTCTACGAGACCTTCCCAAAGCACTCTTAAGATTTTAAGATTGAGGTCAACTTTCGGGTCAAGATCAGGTCAAAGGTCAAATTCAGGGGTTTTGCATGATTAGGCTTACGGACAGCGGAATCGATAGCTGCTGCTCAAAACTCACCAAAAATGACCTCAAAGGCCTAGTGAAGGTACCATGTGCGTATAGGGGTCATACTAAGTACGGGTCAAGGTCAGGTCAGGTCACGAAAGGTCACGGTTTTCACTTTCTGCTACATGGGCGTGCGACACATGTTTTATGGCTTATTTTTCACGCAGAATCCGATGGTAATGGTTATATGTGACCCCAAGTCACTGTGCTGGTGATAAGTGTGCATTGAAAGCATAAAAAATCGTTTATACCATACATAACTAAACGAGGGCCAAGAAAAAAAGTCAATTTTTCAACTTTTTATTTTTGACATAAAAATGCACTTTTCTAGACGAGCTTTGTCCCAGGAATCTAGTGGTGCCATTTGTTTTCACATGCGATGTTCAGAAGTGCCTCTAATTCACGAAAATGCTTATGACGTCACCATGCCCTATGCATGTTGGAGCTATTTTTTACAATTTGGGGGTCAAAAATCAAGATAGAAAGTTAAATTTTGGGACATCTAATGTTCTAATAGAGCTCTATAACATGTATTCCGGTTTTTTGGAAATTCCCAAAATTTTGGATTTTATTAGCTGTTTTCCAAAAAATATAGTTTTTTGAATTTTTAGGGGTATAAAACGCATTTTATGGAAAATCCGAGATTGCCATTTTAAAGAACTCGTTGAGCTGCGTCTATTCATGTCTTTAATTTGCAATTTGCTTAAAATCTCGATTTTTGGCGATTTTTTAAACATTTACCATTTTTTGACTGAAAACGCCATGTAGTTACATCACTAAAATCGATATATCTCACAAAATTTCGGAAATTTTTTCTTAAAAATTGCACAGGAGACGTCAAATTGATGGGGGGAGAAGGTATGCCAAGTTTCAAGTAGATAGCGTAAGCGGTTCATGAGTTATTCAAGAAAAACGGAGGGGGGGTCGGATCCGACCCCCCCCCCCCCCCAGGCGGTCGCGGGTTAACAATGAAATGCCATATTTTGTTAAAACTTGAAGCTTCATTGTAAAACGAAGATTAACTGATTGATAGTCCCATGATATCATCAACATGCTTACAACTGATAGTTCGTTTCATCTTATGCTTGCACTGTGCTTTGTTGTATTTCACATCTGTCTTTCCACTCTTCACGATTCGATAGCACGAATTATTTATCTATGGTAAATGTCAGTAAATATTTTGACAAACTGTCGACGTTTTAGGTGTTCCGGAGTCCGTGCAAGGATGCACGGTCAGCAATAGCACCATAACATCATTTGACGTCCGCTGCAAGCCAGGAAACGACGGGGGGCTGCCGCAGACGTTTGTTCTAGAAGTTCGTGACGTCAACACACAACAGGTGAGTTGCTGAATAAGTCTCTATGACCACATTCACGTCAATGGCAGTGAAAGCGAAGACTGCAATTAGTCCCATACATAGTTGTTCAGAATTAAATCATTATTTATAAAAAGCTCACTTTAACATTCGCGGCAAAATAAAAACATCTAGTATTTTGTGACGCTATATTGTACATGGTACATTTTTTCGATGTTTTTGAATACGTCATTACCCAAATACTTTGATTATGGGTTGTTGGATTTCTTGCTTTCCAGCCATGAAAATGGTTGAATTCATTGTGAACTATATCGCACATGTTGCCCGTAGTTCAACAGGCCGATGCTGGCTTACCGAGAACAATCACGCAACAAACATACCGGACAGCTATTTAACACGAGTGTGATCGTGTAGTTTCTGCTGGCATTCGTTGATAAACTGCAATTTACCATGCGTTTTCGTGCGTAACGCATTTCTTATGGTTAGCTAGGTGAACGAAAATTTTATATAATCCTATTTTCAAAATATGTTCCTTATCAGAATAGTCTTATTTCAGTTCGAAGGCAGCACTTATATACGTATAACATTATTTAAGGGTATTTAAGTTTAAAACGAACATTATGATAAGCCAAGACACAAAAATCAATAGTATTCAGCATGATTTAAAGTCAAGCTGGGAAGACGGCTTTGCCCGAACCATAAAACGGCGCTGACTTAGAAATCAGCGTATGAATCACTCGCTGAGCCGAAGGTTTGTTCCTGTTATAAGCCGCGTCACCACGAGGAAGTGGGCGTGCTGGTCATAAAGTGTGAACACTTAGAGCGTTTTTGGCGCTGAGTTAATATTCACGAACGTAATTGGTTGGCATTGTCGTAAATGACTGTTCGTGCCGAATATTTTATGGATTTTGCACGCATGATGTAGTACCTGACGCACGGGACCACCTTTGTAGTGTTGTGCAAGACACATCTGGACCCTAATATATCTGAATATACATACAGGCTTTCAGACTGCCGGAAGAAACATAACTCTGTAATTTGGAAACACTTAGGACATCAATTATTGTTTTAAAAAAATAATTAAGTCATATGGTGTTACTTAACAAAACTATCCGTTGATGACCTGCTCGCATATGAATTATTGAGATTTTACAACGGTCAGCCCGCACATTCAATAGCAATAAGACGCCTAAGATTACGGCAATGTGCATTGCATTTTTTTCGGACAGATATCGTTTGGCAATCCTGTTTGGCCGTCTCAGTTCTACCATTGCTGCAGTATCAGTGATGTCCCATTTGACCTGTTTTCAGGTGATACACTCGGTATCTCAGAAGGAAGCTGAGTTCCACGTCCGCGGTCTGAGTCCCGGGGCCAACTTCAGCGTGACGGTGTTCGCGTCCAGCGCCCGGGGCAGAGGACAGCCGCACGTGCTGCAGGTCGGCACTGTCACCATGATACCCGACAGGATCGGTGAGTTCTCCCTAGAAACGCAGCCATAGTGATGCTGGACTGGAACCATGGGCATGGGTCACTTATGCACTACAGTAACGGAACTCTTCGAGGCACAAACATGTGGACAATGTCACGGTGCTACCCGACACAGTTGAGTACCTATAATTCTTGTTCTGGGGTTGCGCCAGGCGTTGTTTTCTTCTCGCCAGGATGGGGCGCACAACTACACACAACTAGTTTAAATTAACGACGCAAGTTGTCGTTCGCTCTCCGACGAGCCGCTGTTAAAACTAGCGCCAGGCCTGGAGCGTTTGTAGTTCAGTTTGGCCACCTTTGTTTAATTTTGTGTAGAATGGTGAATAATGAATGGCTGAAGGTCAAGAGCACCCACAGGCATATGGTGAGTTGGAAATGGTAGAAAATAAAATAAACTCCCACATGCAGTGGTCGAGCAATAGCCATCCCCTGTGCCATAATGCAGTCTAAGCGAGGTCATTCATGCTCGCTTAGACTCAGGGTTGTGCTCGACTTAAAAAAAAAAATTGCCGACTCGACTCATCATTCAACTTCAGAAAGCCCTGACTCAACTCTGACTCAAACAAGGAGCTGATATTTCCCATGACTCGACTCATGACTCAAACGGCTCGATGAAAATATGAGTCGACTCAAACTTGACTCAAATTTTTTTGTTGAGTCAAGTGAGTTGACTCAAAATTGACTTTGATAAAAAAGTTGTTGAGCGGGGGGATGAAAAAATCCAGCAGCAGGGCCAGGGCTAAGTTGTTAAGCGGGGGGATGAAAAGCTTATATTATAAGCTTACATATATAGCTTATAAAGCTTATATATTGTTTCTAGAAAGTTGAGTCAGCTGACTCATGTTCCTAAATGTTTGACTCAACTCAATGTCAAAAGTTATTTTTGTCCGACTCAACTCTGACTCAACTCAACAGCTCAACATTTTATCCGACTCGACTCAAATCTGACTCATTTGATGAGTCAGAGATGAGTCAGAGTTGAGTCAAATTTCTGACTTGACTCATGAGTCAAGCACCACCCTGCTTAGACTGGCACAAAAACGATTTCTGCGACCAAGATATTGTATTGGCATCTCGACTCAGAGCCAAAGTCGAGGTTCGCTAGCTTAGGCAGACTATAAGGTGGTGTCTGGTGTGTAAATTATTTGTGACTTGACTTGTAGTAAAACAATATGACGCTATCGTTTTGCGCAAGGACATTTAGTCCTGGTAGGATATCAGTCTACTTCTAGTGACACATGGATGATGGCATAAGGCTTAAAAATAAGCACAAATGCTCGTAATACTTGTCGTTCTTTGACCTTCAACGTGGAGTTGGTCTTTCTGTGGATTGACATCAAAGTATGCTTCCCATTTGTGTTCACCCATTCATGCGTATTGCGCATTGTGCTCTCAGTAGGTATTCTGCCTTTCTGACAGCCGCTATAAATGGCCCGGCCTGTACCGGTCACAGGAAGTTCCAGCTTCTGGCGGCAGAGCGATGACCTTTCCGAGCATGCCGGCTCTTTCATGCCCTGCCGGACACTCCATTCACCACCGCCCTCGAAATATTTCATGAAGCCGCTCAGGCTTCAGCCGACCCTTCCCTGAAGCGGATCGCCCGCGCTCAATACGGGGGCCGGCGATAAGTTGGGCTCCGTGTGGGCGCTTCCGACCGGGTCATACACACTCGCGCCGGAGCGCCACGCCGCAGAGCGGTCCCCGATTGAGTCTGAGCAAACTTGCCGACCGGCCGGGCGCGCTGATGTATCGCCTCTGGCAGTTTGTTCGACTGTGATCGTGTGCCGCCGGCTTACCGGGCGCGATCCCTTTATTGGCTGGCGCCGGTCCGCCGGACGGATTGTTGAACACGCACCGCGCGGCGCCCTTCACTCGCTGCCAATCACCCGGTGTCCCCTGTAATCCTGGCGGCGGCCTGACGCCCGGCAGCAGCGCTCGCCACCATCGATCCCGAGAAGCACATCCTGATCCACGGCAGGGCGCTAGACAGACTGCGGTGGGTGGCGTGCGGGCTGCAGAGCTCCCCCCCCCCCCCCGGCTGAGTGTGCTGACCAGATAACGGGAGACAGTGATTTCTCTCACCCTGGCCCGCTGACCTGACCCCGCCCGGCCGCTCCGCAGCGTACAGCCGCTCGGCGGCCGCCGGTCCCGTGGCAGCCGTGCTGGGCGGGCTGGTGCTGTTGCTGCTGCTGCTGGCCGCGGCAGTGATCGTCTCCCTGCGCCGTCGACTGCCGCGCCGAGGACCGCTGAAAACGGCCGAGCAGGAGGCGCCGGAGGTGACCGGCAGTGGGCGCGACCAGCCGAGCCCAGACCTCCTGCCCACAGGTCAGTGGGGACGCGCGACTACCTGCCTTCACCTGACTGCAAGATATAAATATGTAATGGTGACTGCAAACACATTTACATCAGTTACTCGTATATTTACTCATAACTCATAATTCAGTTCTATTCGGGATTCCAGTTAAAAAGCTTGGTCTCGTATGCATAAATAAGGACACCCGTTCCTACTTCCTGAAGTGTGCCGTATTTCCAGGTTCCGGGGCTCGCAGTCTGTCTGGCTTTTCCGACTGCAGCGTAGTTAGTTCGCCGCATCAGATGACCGCTAATTACAAGGTAAGACTCTGGTAATTACCGCAGCTGATGGTCTTACCGCAGGTCACTGATGCCACCAGAAGCAGCCGATAGGATTTCCGAACCTGTGGTGGAGGTCGGCGCACCGTTGTTTGCGCCGGAGAAGCGAAACGTCCAGACGACGACGTCTCGTTCGTGGATTTTATTTTTCAAATAGCCGCGAGCTGAAGTGCACTTGACTTGGCCTGTCATGCCGCGATGAAAACATATAGACGGGAAAGATATTTGCTCTGATGCAATGACGCTATCTGTTCAGTCTGTAGTGCTGCCTTTTTCATGTTGAAATTCAGAATTGATGGCTTTCGACATTGTAGCTGAAGTGGAAGAGACGTTGTGTCCTTCATCACCAGTCATGGTCAATAACACTCTTTTATTTCATTTATATACAGCACACTTTGTACCTACATTGTTTATGGTTGGTTGACATTCCACATTGGCACAATAAATAACGAGTGAGGCAAGTGCAGTTTAATTGTCAACAATCGGGTATACCAAACTTAACTTGCATTGCAAAATAGCGCTAAACTGCTCAACTTACCTTTGCAATGTCTTGCGTCACAGTCACGGCTGAAGCGGACCGACGAGGATATGTTCGAGTCAGCTGATCACGTGATCCCCAACCCGCTGGACGTCTACGGGCACCGCTCCGTGGACCCGGTACGGACTGTGGGGTCACTGGGACGCGACCCGGCCCGGTCAAGGTCGGCCCACATGCCCACTAGCGCCGCCTATCGGACATTCTCAGACTGCGGGCGGCTGACGGTGCAGGATCGGGACCACAGCGCCGTCTGATTGGCGCTCACAGTGACTCGCCGACTGTGATTGGCTGAGGTCAGAGGAAGTGCTGTGTGATTGGCGGGGGCTCGAACAGACCCACCGTGTGGTTGTCGCTGTTGGGCGATGACGCAGTGATGCCGGGCGCAGTTCGGTGAGCTGGCCGCGCTGTTGTGATCAGTGTTCACTGTTCAGTGGGCGTCTCGGACCGCCGAGGTGCCGTTGGCGGGTGGAAGAGCTGTTGTCAGGAAGATGTAACATTCTACCGTGGCTGATGTGTGTTGTCGATCGTCGTTTTGTATTGCTGGCCAGCACAGTTCGAATGCTGTCCTGTTCCAGAAACTAAGCTCACAGTTTTAACAACCCTGTCCCATCTTAGGGCAAGTAGTGTTTCTAGAAGAAAATTTGCATCTGCTTTGCTGTATGAGATGCGAGTGACATGACAATCATATACCTATGGCCAGTGTATCAGATATGTATGTTATTGTTTGCTGTTTTACGTGAATATGTCTATATTGCTCTATTCGTCAGATCATGAGGACGGCGGTGTTATAAATCAAATTTTAACATGCTGATAGCAATTACTGACCAGGAGTATGCTGGCTAGTTTGTTGATACGTCATTGTTTTTCTCAATAAAACAATAAGCTTGTTATTGAAGATATCAATTTCATGTTATGCATATATGAACTCAATCGCATATTAAAGCTCGCCTATGACTCTTTATCAAATTAGTGCTTGAATGACAAAACAATATCTTGCTGCCGATGACTTCTTCCCGAAAAATCGATGGCTGAGTGTCAGACTGCTCAAATGTCGAGGCAGCGCTACTGTTCTGAGTGTGCCCGCTGGTATTCTGTCGTACCTACGCCTTTCCAGAGGCACATTTCGGTGGCTGGCTCCTTCTAAAGTGGGCTGAAATAAACCGATTCTCTGATTACTCTCGTCGTGCTCGCTGACCCGTGCTGGCGTGGCTAACCGCTGTTTTCATACCGTTGTGTGCATGATCAGCCATTATGTGGCATTGTGTGCAATGTGGATGTTTGTTGAAACATGTCATTGTAAATTAAATTGAAAAGACAACTTTATAAATGGAATATATATAGTATCATACTGTTTATTGTTCGTTCGCCTCTTCGAACGTCAGTTGATTTTAGGTAAGTAATAGGCATAGGTGGAAGTTTGTGCCAAGCTAGCGGTGCCCGAGCTCCCCAAATTCCACGCCGGCTTGGCTTTGTAGCCGCAACAGACGGTCGAGGTCAAGGTCACCGCTGGGGCGGCGGCGAACCTTTTTAGCGCCGGGGCACCCACAGCTCAGCACAAAGTTCCATCCAAAATAAGTAGACAAAATATGTTAGACGTGAGATAAAATATCGTCTTTACCAAAGATTACCTAAACCTATATGTACTAAAATTTTACCTAAAATTACACGTGCTTTAGAGGGACAGCTTCTCAACTGCGACTCCTAACAGCGGCATAATCTGCCGTCACATTTTCCACTAAATGGCAAACGACTGATTATGTGACGCACACACAAACGCCAAGAGAGGACTTACATGATCAAATTTATCCGTGACGAGATGTGAACGACTGTTAGGCATAACTGGCACCGTTCCGTGCTTCTATCCTCAGGATACTGAAATCCTTCTCCTCCACGCCGCAACCCCCTTCCGGGCTGGACAGGCAACTTTATCTCATGCGGGCTGCTCCCTTGGAGCGGCACCGCTGCTCCCGAGGGAGCGCACCCCGTAGCCGGGTGCAGTGAGTGCCTTGGGGCTGGGTGGCCTGTCCTCTGGACGGGCTCAGCCCCGGCGACTCACTAGGGTGCCTGCCCAGACCAATGTCTCCCCCTAATTCCTATCATCCTTCCGGCTCTGCAATGGTCTTGACGACCGAAAGGGCCTAACCCAACAAAACAAACAAACAAACATAACTGGCACGTAACCGGCCTTTGTTAACAGGGTTTGGTATCCATTGATGTATTTGACGCCTGACGGGAGATGATTTATTCCAAAAGGCTCTTGGCATTTGCACTGGCGGTCGCAGCCGCTAGCAAAAGGGGGGGCCAAACTCACACTCGCGGGACATAACATTTATCCGTCACCGGAGGGGGGGGGGTGATCGGCTAATTTTTACGTCCACGAGGCGCCGCGCAGTTGGCACTAATTATGCTTCATCCATGTCATTCTTGCGTGGAATCTTTAAGCACAATTTAACCCTCGCACGACCAGGCCATTTCTCATAACACGAACGACCAGGGGGGGGGGTTGTTACGACCCCCCCCCTGGCGTTTCGAAACGGAAGGTCATAGAGCTTAGCGGAAAAAACCAACGGATTGCTCTCAACGAGATCTCGCGATTGGTGGTATATTTATTGGTCCTAGGTCGACATTTGACCTACTTATGACCGGTCAAAGGTCAAATTTTCCGAAAAAATCAAACTTTTTCAACTTTCCGCGGCGATTGCGGCAAAACGGTGGGAGATATCGACTTGAAACCTTCACTATCGTGTTCCTTGATCAATTCTCTATCGTTTGGTATGTATTTCGTTTCCCTAGCTCTAAAAATGGCGCGTTGGGAGCGCCGGAAGTCGGCAAGGTCACAGTCGGCGGTAGAAATTCGAAAAATCAAAATTTAAATTTTTGAAATCTGATTGTATTTTTGGATTTGGGAGGTCCATTTGCTCCCTATAGAAGCTAATATTGCTGCATATTCCCATTGAGGTGACAAGAATTAGCAAAATAGTGGTTCGGGCGCTTTTCAAAAATAGTACCGGACGCTGTTCCTCTTGTGACGTCATAGCTCCGTGACCTGACCTGACCCGGTCAATTTTCTTGCACCACACGATAGCCAATGCTTGCCCCAACATGCATGGGAAGTTTCATCATGATCCATCAAACAATGTGGGTATCACCGGCAGAAAACCTAGGGATTCGGCGCACACGTTTGGTAACTGTCGGCCGGAGGCTGTACCTCTTATGACGTCATAAATCCGTGACCTGACATGACCCGATCAATTTTTTTCGGCAAAAGATGCGCAAAGGTTGCCCCAGAGGGTATTGAAAATTTCAGCCCGCTACGACAAGCCGTTTAGCGTGCACTTCGAAAAAACCTCAGGGGGGGTGATACACCCCCCCCCCTAGGCGTTCTAGGGTTAAGGCAAAATCACCAGTTCCATTTCCCGTCCCACGGTGTTTCCACCGGTCGGGCCACTGCACCATGGCGACGGATCGGTGTAGCATATACTGGAAGGTCGGGCACGCGGATTTATGACCTTACCACTATAAAACAATTCGGAAAAGTACAGATACCTACCTCTTGCTTTGAACAAGCATGTGAAACCCAGAGAGCATTTTCAGACTATGACATTTACCCATATAGTTGTGTGGCGGCGGGAGAGAGTAGGTACACCGACCTCTGGAGACCAAAGGTTCCTGGCTTTCAAAATTGGAATCTGAGGGCCGCGCGCGACTCCTGCGGGCTTCGTAACGGCTCTATTGGGGCTCACTCAACCTGCCTAGTCCTCATGCTGAAAAGACTGGCCCTGAGCCCTGAGGATTTCATCAGTCTCTGCCAGCCCCAAGACCCGCAACGGCTCATGGGGTCCCGATGTCGAAATATTAGGGAATCTACGCGGGACCATCAGGACGTAAAGTGATCTCGATCAGGACCAACGTAAGGCTGTACAGGAGTCTGCGTAAGCCCTCTGATCTTCAGAAGCCCACCCATGTATGTTTTCACTTAGAGGCCAGATTAGGGCCCTCAGAGACCAGTACAGGGCCTGCAAACTGCAAAGGCCAGTAGTTTGAGACCATCAGAGACCGAGTTGGGCTCTCAGAGGCTAATGTGGGTCCTTACTCATTGCAGGCCAACATGGGGCCCTCAGATGTCAGCGTGGGGCTCTAAAAGACCGGCATGAGCCGTCGTTGGACCCCAGAGGCCAGCAGAGGGCCCTCCTCAGAGGCCAATGCAGGCCCTTAGAGGCCGGCATCGGGTCTTTAGCAGCCAGTGCGGGGCCCTCATTGGCACCTAAAGGTTCGTCTTAGGACACCAGAGACAGAAATAAGGCCACCAGAGACCGGTGTGAGACGCTCAGACGCCGGTTGGGGCCCCTGATGCCGGTTAGGGGCCCTCATAGGCCAGATGTGGGGCTTAAGAGGTCAATCTGGGCTCTTAGCGGCCAACGTGGGCGCTTGACCGCCACTGAAGTTCCCTCAGAGGTCAGTGTAGGACGCTCAAAGACCGGTGTGGGAGCTATATTAATAGCTTGGAGTGTTTTTTTTTTTTTAGCCTCGTGACGATCGAATAAGGGCCAGGGTCCCATACACCTATGGAGGCCCATCGGTTGTTTGAGGGGGGGGGGGCAAATGATATGATGGCCCCCTTTATTGGCCTTTGGGGGGCATGGCCCTGATGCCCCCCCCCCATGCGACCGCCACTGTGTACCTGTATACACATTACACACAGGCCTCTGAGATTGCATACTAGCTCATGCAAACTCTATGCAGGCCCCGGGGGTACCACGCAAATTCTTAAGAAACCAAGCCGGCATGCGGCGTCACCACCGGGCTTCTGAGGTGCACCGCACCAGCCCATGAGGTCTTACTTTAGTGTCGTAGAGCCACGCTCATTTGGCAGGGCCCACCCGCCACTGCCGAAGAGGGTCTCATGCCAGCCGTTGCTGGGCCTACGAGAGTCTCAAGTAAACCCACGCTGATATTCCATATAAGATCCGGCCTTACTCGTGAACCGGTGCCAGCGACGCTGACCGCCAAATTGACAGAATGCGAAGCTGAGCCCACTCATGAGTAAAATTTACGCTCTTTGATGGCGCAAGAAAGAAAATGAAACATACAAAAAGCTTTCAAGGACTTTTGTTCGATCTGAAAGGTGGGGCCAAAAGATAGTATGGCCCCACCTTTCAGCACCAAAGGGGGGGCCATGGCCCCCGTGGCCCCCCCTGGGACCGCCTATGGGCATTTGAAGACATCCTGTGCGCTGATAAATCTCAAAGACAGCCATCGCTGGACTGGTATCAGATCATCACACAGTATCTCAGGCTCGCGCACGGAGCCTGATATGATAGTGTGATTTTATGAGTTATGGAAAATGTGAATTCATCACTTATGTTGCCTCTCAACATCCTTCGTGTCCATTGGCCAGCCGTTTTATCCTGCCTATCTCGTATCACGTTCATATCCCGTCACCACCTCTATCAATTTGTGTTTTCCGATTGCCCGTACCTATTCCTTTCATCATTCTTGTTCAGCTCCCACAATCCTCGTTCACCTCCCGTTCACCTCTGTTCACCTCCCGTCACCACAGTTTGACTCCCATCACCCTCGATATGTTGTTTTATAATTATTCTGTAATATCCCATCACCCTCGTTCACCTATCAACACCTCCCGTCACCCCGTTTACCTTCCATCGCCCCCGCTCACCTCAGTTCACCTTCCATCGTCCCCGCTCACCTCTCGTCACCTCCCGTTCACCTCAGTTCACCTTCCATCGCCCCCGCTCACCTTCCATCACCCCTGTTCACCTCCCGTCACCTCAGTTCGTCACCCCTGTTCACCTTCTCTCACCCCCGTTCACCTCCCGCCACCCCTGCTCACCTCCCGTCACCCCGTTCACCTTCCATCGCCCCCGCTCACCTCCCGTCACCTCCCGTCACCCCGTTCACCTTCCCTCACCCCCGTTCACCTCAGTTCACCTCCCGCCACCCCTGTTCACCTTCTCTCACCCCTTTCACCTCCCGTCACCCCGTTCACCTTCCATCGCCCCCGCTCACCTCCCGTCACCTCCCGTTCACTCTCCGTCCACCTCCCATCACCCCTGCTCACCTTTCCTCATCCCCGTTCACCTCCCGTCGCCTCCGTTTACCTCCCGTCACCCCTGTTCACCTTCCATCGCCCTTGCTCACCTCCCGTCACCTCAGCTCACCTCCCTTCACCCCTATCCGGCTCTGGTCTGCGCTCCGACACGGCCCCGCGGCTGATTCTCGGCTGTTCGGGTCCCGCCTCACCGACAGAAGCAGTGCCGCAGAGCCGGGATAGCGGCATTAACATTGACGGCACCCATGAATAATTAATTTATGGAGATTATCACGTGTGAGGT